TGATAGCCAATATACTACAAGAGTGAAACGCTGTGATAGTATTTTTTCTCAAATTTTCATCTTTTATTTGCAGTTACATTAAGAAGCTCATAGAGGACAGAGCGGTTGGTGAGGAAGGTGTCGAGTTACTGCTGTACTGCAACTGGGAAAATCCGCATTTCGCACGTGCTCCACTCGTATGGAATAGTAGCTTATGTCGAAAGGCTGGTTTTAGTATAATGCGGCATTCGCAGCATACCCTCACAGGCGCCGAGCCGTTGAAGAAATTTTGGATAAATAAACGTGCAAGAAATAGTTCCGATACTAGCACTGGAGATTTATTTTTTTAATATACCTTGTTTATACCTACACAAAATCCGGATTAGCAAAAAACCGATTGGACTCAACATATATTTCTTTACAGCATTTATCCCCCTGTCTTTATAGCGCACTCGATAAAGTCTTATTCAAAAGTAAACAAAATTGCTATTTTTAAACGACATTTTTTTAATAAATAATTTGCGCGGTTGACCGAAATGGAAACAAACAATAATTGTAATTTATTATAACAATAATACGAATTTAAAACGGGCTGTATAAAGAAAACCAGCCTATTGTCACTTCACTTTCCAATGGTGCTGATTGCTGCAAGAATTATTTAGCGATTTAGAGCATAATCAACACAATATATGCACATAAATATGTATTATTTCACAGATCTCAGGGTCAGCTTAGAAATACGTTACCAAAATTATATAAAATTTAAGTAGGAATTATTTTTATTTATAACGTAAAAGCGCTATCTGTCCCAATCTGATAAGTATATTTCCCCTAAAGTTAACCCATTTTATTTAATTTGTCTCTCGTGAAAATATATATTTTATTTATAATTTTCAGATATGTACATATATTTTAAATTTTTGCTTTAATTTTTGTCTCCTTTTAATATTTAATTAGATACCTTAAGATTAAAATAAGCTTAAAACGAAACAGCACAGCAACCCTTTTCTCTTCATCTTGAGAACACAAAACCCTCTTTTGTTAAAATTCGGCGCTGCACAAAATCCTGGCTTTTATATTTTCCAACAAAATAACACTTCGCAACCCTGGATTTTCACGAAGCGTTTCATTCGGGTCGTAGTTTGGCTACTTCGGGCCATTCGGTGTTGTATGCCATATTGGCTGCCATATTGTTCACACTGTCATCGCCATATTGAACACCCTGTCAACTATCTGTCAACCCTAAGATATCTCACTTGTATTCTTCCACAATGAATCGTTGCTAGTACGAGGATTAGGGTGGATTAGGGATTTCGGAAAAACATCGATGAAAAATACTCAAAATGTCGATGTTTTGCTTCGATGCATCGAAAATTTTTCACTCAATGTTTAAATAGTCGATGTATCGATGTTTTTTGAAAACTGACATCTACGGTACATTGAACCGTCATTCCAGTTGTTCAATTGTTCTAAAAAAGAAGTGACTTTGACCAAAAAATTTTAATGACTGCAATAAGTTCCGTTAGAAACATAACTAGCTCAGTTGCAG